AATTCCTCCACCAACTACACATTATTCTCAATATAAAGGTTCGTCTTTGTATTTCGTATTTGATTACAAGGAAAAGATTGTGAATTCTATTATCTTTTTCTGTGCACACGTATGTTGATTTTTGACATCGTCACACCGAGTCAGAGTCTGGAATTAAATTGAATTAGTTGAATGTGCACTGCCGCACTGGAGTTATAATTTAGAATTCAATTACTTTGATTGGATAATTTCAAAGTTGGGAATTACACTGGAGTCAGAATTTGGAATTCAGTTAAATTGGTTCGAGAATTTTAAGGTTGAAAATTGATGTATATGCACAAGTATTTTGAATTTTGGACACTGATTGAGATTTGGCTTCCATTAATTCTCGTTCTGTCAAACCAAAAAATGATAAAGTCATCAATTATGTGGAGTAGGTAGATAATTGGAAATATGATAATTCGAAGATTGTTAATTGGATTAATAATTCTACCGTGGAGTCAATAAGCACGCTATTGGCAAAGTATGATACTACCAAGAAAGTTTGGGAGCACCTGTCTAGACTAGGGCTGTCAATGGATTGAATATGGATCAGATTTGCCCATATCTGATCCGATCCAATAAGAATAATTATTCAATTCGATCCGTTAATCCAATGGATATTAGATTGTTAAATCCATATCCGATTTGTTGGATTATAGGATATCTGATCCGAAATATTTTTCACATTTTTTTATTGCAATATAAGAAAATAACAATATTAACCTATTGGCAATTTCAATAACAATCCACAAGATAATACCAAATTAAAAGGAACCAAAATATGAAATATTGCAATGACTAGATATCCAACAAATGTTATAGATAGAGTGAGCAACAAAAATGAAGAAAAAAAATTCTTAAACGCAGCTTTTGAAGTTTGAGCTCTCTCTCCATATCATATCACCCGTCAGTCCACCACGCTTACAAAAACAGACGTTTAAGAATAAAGGCCGTACAAAACAAATATCATTTCAAGAAAATGAAAACATAAATTTATAAGTAAAACTTACATAAACTTTAGTCATTAAGAAATATTATTTTAATTTTGTAGGCCTTGTTTGTAACATTCATGTCAAGTTGTGCAAAAAGAACATGACAAATTAAGTACTCGTGTCTATATATATATATATGTGTATGTATGTATACATATATATATATATATGTATATTATTACAAGATTACTAATTTAAGAATTTATTATTTACTATTTAATTGATTATTTATATATTTATTCATCTTTGTGCGGTCACCAAAGCTTCTACAGTTTTCGGAAGCAATGAAGCACAAAAATCATCAACTACTCTTCCTCCCACACCAAATGCAACCTCAGATGCAACAGTAGTTGCTGGAACAGCTAATATGTTACGAGCAATGTTTCCAAGAGTAGGGAATTTAGCATTATTAACCTTCCACCAATTTAGAACTTTAAAATTTTTAGTTCTTGGAAATAATTGCTTCTCCAAGTACTTCTCTAATTCTGACTTTTTAGAAGAACATGACAATTAGAAGATCGAAATTGCATTGACAAAGAATCAAACCCACTCAACTGGTCCTCTAGAAAAGCCCCCATTCCATGATCACTACTAGAACCAACTTCTTGACTTACTTCCACTTCAGATTCAGATGAACTATCATCATACTCATCGAAAAGGTTAAATGTTGCCTTACGAACTCTTTCAACATGTGTATGAGCATCAACTCCATAGAGTTTATCATAATATATATCATAATAATATTCAACCAAATCCATTTTAAATCTTGGATAAAAAACAATAGCAATTGCTAATACTAAACAACACTCCTCCCAATATTTAACAAACTTCAATTTCATTGGGCCAGCCATCATACTCAAAAAGCTGTACGCACTTCTTTACCATTTAGATAAATGTAGTTGAATATTACTCAAATGAGGAAAAAATAAAAAATAAAAACACATTTGATGTGGGAAAATGAGAACCAGAAAAATGATTTGTTGCATCATAAAATATTTTCAAGCAATCACATAAAACTTTAGCAATTCTCCATTCGTCTTCACTTTGATAGAGTTTATAATTACGATCTGTTTGTGCTAAGCGCCAAAGCACCTTTTTCATCTCTATTGCACATTCAATCATCTCAAAAGTAGAATTCCACCTAGTAGAACAATCCATCTTCACTTTTTTCTTATCTTTCAATCTAAGTTGATTTTTTACATGAGTAAATTTTTGTGTTGCATATGGAGACCTTTACAAATACTTCACAGTTTCTCTAACCTTATGAATAAACACTCCAATTACTTTTAACCCATCTTGCACAATCGAATTAAGAATATGAGCACTACAATGCACGTGAAATAACCCACATTCCAAAGGTATTGCAAACTTGTCACAAAGCCAGCTTTTCAAACTTCTTATCGTCGCATCATTGATGGTAGCATTATCAACCACCATGGTGAACAATTTTTTCTCCATATTCCAATCCAAAATCATATCAGTGATGTATGTAAAAAGTGTTTTTGCGTCATGAGGATATTTGATCCATCTGTAACCAATTACTTTTTTGTTCAATTCCCAATCATGATCAATGAAATGAAATGTCAAGCACATATAATCAATGTCTTGATAATCAGATGTCCAAATATCAGTAGTTAGAGTGATTCTACCTGGAAGTTTCTCCAAGTGGTTGTGTAACTTCTCTTTCTCACGTTTGTTAACTTCAAAGACATCATCCCTCACTGTATTTCTTGGCACGAGCTTAAACATTGGTTGCAAACCATTACATAATAACTAAAAATATTCATGTTCAGCCATATTAAAATGATAATTATACATGATAACCATCTTAGCAAAATCCATCCTACTTTTCAATTGGTCAAACTTATGATTTTGAACTATGGAAGCAGCCTCTGGGAAACTTTTGGATATGGATAAAAATTTTCGACCAATGTCTCTACTACCTTTCTCATTACACCCATCCAAATGATACTTTAAGTGGCTAGTTCCTCTACTACTTTCTCCTACAAATTCTTTACGACAATGCTTGCACTTTGCAATTTCATTTCCTTTTGGCCCCTTAGATTTTACAAAATCATTACATACCTTTGATGTCAATTTTCGTCTCTTAGGAGAAGGTGGAGGCGAATCTTCAACTTGTATAATATTCCTCGCATCATCTTTTTTCTCCGCTTCAGTGTTGGGCTTGTCGGCCATTATATGTATCCAAAAAGTCCTAAAATCAAGGTCAATATTTGAAAACAATTTGAGGAAAACAACGAAATAACAAAATGAAAACAAGAAAACGAAGGTCAAAGAAGAATCTTAATATTGGAGATGACATACAAAAAAATAATCGAAGAAGAAGAAACCTCAATTTGGAATGGGCCAGATCTGTCCCTGCTGCGTAGAGATGAAGAGTCGGACAGATGTAAATATGAATTACAAATGGAGAATACCATAGGATTTCCATTTTTTTAATATGATTCAGCTACGGGAATAGAAAAGGTTTCTTTGTTCTTTGAATTAATTTCTAGAAAGAAGAATGTTTAGGAAACAAAAGGTAAAACGTGGCAGGAGCCTGGAAGAGAAGAAAGTGTCAAGTCCATTATGAACTTATCATTTGTCAGATTGGCATTATGACACATGGGGTTGGGATGAAAGAAAGTTTGTGAAGCCCATTATCATGTTTCAACATTTTTTCTTCCATACAAAATTTATTATAATATATATTAATGTTATTGAAATTTAATAATTTTGACATCCTTCATTAAAAGTCATAAAGTATAAGATCAATTTCAGAAAAATAAAAAATAAAAAATAAAAAAAATGTAATACATTATATGATAATATACAAAATATTTTATATAATTATAATAAATCAGATAGGATTTACCTCATCCATATTTGTTCCATTTAGTTAACGGATTATCGAATTCGAATTTTAATCGGGTTATCGGATTGAGACTCTAAATCCATCTCCCATTAATTTCATCGGATTCGAATAAAAATTCAATCTATTGACAGTCCTAAGCACAACCCTTGTGGAGCCGTGTCATTTCCAAACAGGCCCTAACAGACATCAAGCCGTCTGACCCACCTTTAAGCCTCTACTTATATCCCAAGTCTTGTAAAACAACTATAATTACGTGTGTATATATATATGTGTGTGTGTGTGTGGTGAATTTTTATTTATTTATTTATTTTTAAATATACTAGATAAAAATTTTATCCTACAATCCTAGAGTTATTGATTGTAAGCATAAAATTTGCATGGAAAAAAAATAAATTGTAGGTAATTCGATTGCCTAGAATTTATTTGTATGGAAATTGTCGATTAAATGTGTTTGATTGATTTAATTTTCAATCTAAAAAATATTATACCTGTCCATTTTTTATTGGTGGGTTAATGAGAGAGAGTGGATAAATAAGAGAGAGAAAGAGAGAGTGAATTCCGTGGAAAATAAAATCCTACTCTTCCTAAATAAAATATTTTCCTTAATTTTGAGGAAAATATAGTCACGTGGCCAAAAGTAGGAAAATATTTTCCATAAAAAAATGACAATCAAACAATACAAAAGTAAGAATTTGGATGAAAAACAAATTTTTCATGAAAAATATAGGCAATCAAACGCACTCTTACATTTTAAGATATGTAGCCCACCAAACGTAATAGGAAAAAAAATTTTAAATTTGAAAGTGCTATGTGAAATACAAATGTGCTATAGGGAACAAAAGATACTTAAAAGATTTAAATATATTTATTTCTTTTTTAATAGCCATGCTGAAGAGTTTCAGTTTTATCACAACTCTTTTCAGCTTGATAATGAATAATTTCTTTATCACCCAATTACTGAAAACTGTAAATTATTTTGATTCCAACTTTAGTAGAAGTAGAACTCCCTTCCTGTTGAAACTTTTCACCTGACCAAATTCCTTTTCCTAATCGAGTTCTTCTTATGCAATATATATTTAACTATCTTTCCTTCAGTGTTTTGCACTATTACAATGGAGAAATTATTGATATTCGTCTTTGTGTTTACTCTCTCTTTGTTCAGCGTAATAAGTCATTCTCACACCGCATTTAATGTGCTTGACTATGGCGCAGTTGGTAATGGTCGAACTGATGATACCCATGTAAGATATCGTGTTATTATATTTAGTTTCAATTGCATGTTCGATCTACTGTAAGGTTTATATTAATAACATGAGAATTGATTTTTTTTTTTATTTTTTTTTCCTTTTTTTTTCTTGGTTTTTTCCGCTTTGTTGTAGGCTTTTTCGAGAGCGTGGGAAGCAACATGCATGTCATCATCGTCTTCTTCGACCATGGATGTTCCTTCGGGGAAGACATTCTTGATCAATTATTTACACTTCCATGGCCCTTGCAATAAAAAATCGATTAATATTAAGGTGTTGATTCAATGATTTATTAGATATTCAAACTACATGTGTCGAACTGGACGAACTATACCTAATCTGTTAGCCTGCTAAAAATTGACCGGAATGAACCGGTCTGGTTCGTGAGGCTCAAGCTTGTGGCTAACCGCCAACGTTGTCAAAAATAATTTTATTTCAGAATTAATGTATGTCTTGATTTAATCAAGAATTTTTTTAGTTATATCACCGTAAAATTAATCTGTCTTGAGTTAATTATGGCAGTATTAATTCTACATTGATTTAATGAAGGCCAAGAATTTGGAAAACTTTTATTTAAAAGAAAATTTTAAAATGAAATAAACCGGTATGATCTGTACGGTCACACTTTTGGACAGGCCTAAGGTCCGGTTCGGGCTTTCGTAAATATGACCTCTGCGGTTCAGTTTACAGTCCAAATAAAATTAATTAAACTATTTATAGTTTAAACCTAAGTCTGGCAGAGATTAAGCCTCTGTTTGATATTGATTTAGATCAGATTTTAATAGGAGTCAAAGGTAAACCGTCAATATTAACCACATATTTCATGGGTCCCACAACTTTTCAACTACACATTTCAAAAACTTTTTATCAAAATCTACTAAAATATAATTTTAATCCCCACCAAACAGACCCTAAAATCAGCACGTTATTAGACATTGATAAATATTGATGAAATATGTGAAAAAAATTGTTTATCCTATAAAATATATAGTTAAAATTAATTTTTAAATTTAATTTGAATTAAAGTTTAGATTTTAATCCTTGTCAAACAGCCGTTAAATGTGACGACTGGCTGCCGAATACCTTGTGTACCTGGAGAAAACATGACTAATTAAACTATTTACAGTTCAATGTGTATTTTCCTTCTTTTTTTTTCATTTTTTATTAATTTTTATTGTTTATTAATTATGCAGATAAATGGAAATATAATTGCACCAAGTGAACCATCGGTGTGGAGATGCGAAAATAATAACTGCCATAACTGGATGGATTTTAGACACGTTGATAATCTGTCCATACGTGGAAATGGTGTAATAACTGGCGATGGAGATAAATGGTGGCACACTAGTGAGGTAAACTATTTAATAATTTATTATTTTAAATGCACTCTTGGTATTGATAGTCGGTCCGATCCCAATTCCCAAACTTATCAATTGTACGTCCACGTAGATCTCTCGGTGCCTTTGGAGCTTGAACAATTTAAATCTAAGTTCATAAAAAGTAGTATACTTAAAGAATTGTCCCGAAATCATAAAACCTTATCATCGTAATTTGTAATTAATATAATTAAAAGATGTTTGACGCTCTTACATTAAAAAAATATAACTAAACTTTTTGTTTATCGTACTGTCATGTATGATCTAGTATATTAACTAGCAAACATGCACGATGTTTTTTACTGCATAAAGCGGCCAATTAATTCAATAAACAAGTATTCATCCACGTTTAAATGTTCATCTTTCGAAAATGTTATAGAAACTTCAATTTTGAAATTCTAACATGGATTATATTTCCATCTTCTACAGCTTCACTCGAGGCCAAATGTAAGTTTTTCTAATCTCATAATAACTCTTTTGATGTTCACAATTTCTCTTGAATAAACTTTACCTTCAATGAAATTCTTCAATGTCAGGCTTTAAAGATATCATCCGCTAACAATGTTACTCTAAGTGGTCTTACCTTTAAGGATATTCCTCATATGCATGTCATCCTGGATTCCTTAACATCAGTTCATGTCTCGAATATAACAATCGATAGTCCAGGAGATAGTCCAAACACCGATGGCATCCACATTACAGGGTCGACTAATGTTGTCGTCGATCATTGCCGTATTGGAACAGGTATTTTATTGTTGTATACTTGGAAAATGTTCGTCTAAAGTCACTCGTGTTTGAATTGAAATTGAGATATTGATGCATGTTCTTCCCTTCATGGATTCATATCAGAAAGAGGTTGACAGTATGTCACTTTGTACAAAAATGTAGGCGATGATTGCATTTCCATAGTATCTGGAACATCAAATGTGAAGATTAGCAACATCGTATGTGGACCTGGGCATGGCATAAGGTCAAACTCGTGATCTCCATTGTATTTTAATAGTTTAATCTTTACCCTAGCCTGATCTTATCATGCTTGCACATTAGAACCTTAGTAGAATTTGAGATGTTAATGTCTCCTTTGCCTTGACACAGCGTTGGAAGTTTAGGCAAGAATGGAAACCATGACATAGTCGAAAATGTGGAAGTTAGCAATGTTGTATTCATACGAACCATGAATGGTGCCAGAATAAAGACATGGCAGGTATTTAATGTCTTGCATTCTTTGATTATGATGTGACCGTCTTGCTCTAATGTCTAACCTTATGTTCTGCTAATCTTTATAAACTGTTTATAAACCCTCGATCCAATTTTTATCCACACATTTAGAAGAACTCATAAGTAATATCAACTTACTCGAACCTTATCTCTATCTATTTATAATATTAATCTTTTAAAAACACTTGCCAAACATGTTGTAATATTATTCATTATTGTGCATTAAACATGTCAGGGAGGCAGTGGATTTGCTAGAAACATGGTCTTCGAGAAAATCTTGAGTCACGAATCAAGCAGAATCATCGACATTGATCAATTCTACTGTGATCACATGCATTGCGTAACACAAGTTAGTTATTTCTATTCCTAGAACATTGATCTTCCCGAAAGTAATCGAGTCATCACATACTAATTCAATGTAAATGTTTTCTTACAGGAATCAGCACTAAAAGTTAGCAACATCACCTTTAGACAAATACTAGGAACCTCGTCAAAGCACACTGCAGTCAATTTAGAATGCAGTTCGTCCGTTCCATGTACAGATATAGTTCTCGACGACATTTACATTGTACAGAACGACAAACAAAGAGCTTCAGTTGCGTGTAACAATGCTTATGGAAGAGTACAAGGAATGAACGTTCCTGATATACGTTGCTTAAATCAAATGTAGATTTTTAGTATATAGTGTGACGGCTGAAATATTGATTAGTGTCTATTAGCTAAATTAATAGGCCTCAAAATACTTGATTTAAAAGCTTAAATTTTTAGAGAAGAGTTAAGCGTATTCATTATAATTTTATCTTCAACAAATTATATTTGCTGATTCGATTTCAATTGAATTAACTTTTGATGCGTATTAATATACTTGTTCTGTATTTTCCTTCAAGTTTTCTTGTGAAATTATTATTTTTATGAATAAACTTTTATGCTTTATGCAATCGTAATATGGCATTTTTATATCGTCATGTACTTTTACTTATTCGAATTCTAAATAGAAATATTTGATGATCGTATAAGGTCTAAGTTTACTCGAGAGGGATCGTTAGGATCATCAATTGTCATGAAGATCATGGATTGAAATTTATAATGAGAATCGAAAATTTAAAATAGATTGATGGGTGGACTAGTTTTTCTAGTATTCTATTCATAATTGAATTATCCTCTAAAGTCGCCATTCTATAATCATAGTCTATTTTCGTAAAATAGTTGATTTATAGTAGATAATGATCCAATCAATCCTAGAATTTTTTGCATTTGATGTACAGTTAGATTTAATTGAATTATAAAAACTTCTCAGTACTCGAGAGAACGATATTTGATTTATCACTTATTGTGCATTTGCACGATTTTATAGCAACATCGATCACATAGTTCGCAAACATATTATTATGACTTTCACGAAGGAGGAAGATTATATTCGTTTCTAGCTTTGTTGATAATTATCCTGTGAGTGTTTTTAAATCTTCCCTATACTTTCGGGCGGAGATTGATAAGTTGGTCACAGTTAACTTCTTTATACTACCTAGTGAGTTGCTTTGGAAGCCTTTGTGGATTGATGAGTCAACTGCAGACCGTAATCTGCCCAATTTGGCTCTGAGTTTGCATCGAAACTAATGTGGCTGAAGAGGCTCGAAAATTCATTTGTGCGGCATTTGAAGAAGGTGACGAAGAATTTGGATTTCAGAGTTTCGAAAAAATTCCACGAGATTGCCAAAATTGTAATCATATGGGACATGAATTGCTTTTGAGGATTACAAGCTACAAAATGTCTCTAATTCAATGCCTATTGGATTTGCAAATCAGATTAGCTTCCCAAAGGCCCCGGAGCTGAATTAAATAATCCATCAATTATAGGGAACAAGTTGTAGATTCGAAAAAATTTAAGGGACAAAATCACAACAATTTGAAAATTCAGGGAATGTTTTCCACACTTCGGATAATTCATGAACGTTTTGTGACAGGCAGACTGACTTGCACCGAACAAATTACATACATAGGGACCAATTTGAAATGTTCAGAAAGTTTAGGAACCGATATGTATGATTCTGAAATCTCAAGGACTAAACTGTGCAATTAGGAAACTTCAGGGCAAATATTCAATTCTCAGAAAACGTAGGGGAGTATCTGCAGCTTACTGAAAATTTAGGGGTTGTTCCTCCATTTGTGGATAAGGGTCCGTTTGGGAGATCAACCACTTCAAGAGCTACTGGGTCAAAGCGTGACCAAATTTTCGATTTTATTTGAGGGCTTGGTGACTAGTAATTTAGGTAGATACAAACAATCTATTGTCAAGGGAAAGATCAATGGTGAGTCGTTCAAGCACTAAGGTAGAAAGAGCATAGTTGTCAGCATATGAGTTTAACATCGACTATTAGTCTTTTTATTTGCGACCTAGTGACTATGAAGGTGATGCTTTTGGCTATGTATATGTAGAGATTGAAGAGACGAGAGATTTTTTTTTTTTTTTTTTTTTTTTTGAGTTGAATTTAATCAGTTTGAATACTATCCATTAATAAGTGAATTTAATTAAAATGAGATTTTTATAAATATATTCAGAGACACTATCCCAATTTTTTATAAATAAAAAATTTCAGTGTTGGTCAAATTTTTATACAGTAGATTAACAATAAATCGAGTTATTAATTTGTTGGCTTGGTCCTTCTCAAATTTTCAATTCCAGCACGCCATATTAGATTATAATAGGATTAGGTGGAATAAAATTAAATAATACCAATTATAGGGATATATTAATGTGGATTAGCTTCTAAAACGACATTTGGCCCTACACTATCTTTAAAAACATAAAAGTCTTGAAAAACAAAAAAATATTATAACAATCGTTTTGCCTAAAAAAAGAAGAAGTAAAGTTACTGTCAAGTAATTTTTTATTTATTTATTTTTTAATCTAAAAATATGCTTTGTATCACTTCATTTTCTTTTACTTTTATGTAAGAAAATGATTTTTTAAAGAAGTAATTCTCAGAAGTTACTGTCATGTAACATTTTTTTAATCTAAAAATATGTTTTGGATTACTTCATCTTCTCTTACTTAAATGATTATTTATTATAATATGTCTTACGTTTGGGTCAAGTAAGTAACTAGACTTAATTTTAACTGATTAAAAAGATATATTAATATTAAAATTGTGTAGTTATGAGTAGATTTACTTATTTATTTACAGGTAGATTTACATTTTGTCCACAACTTATTTTGATGACTTTTTTTTTTTTTTTCAAGTAAAAAGGTTATTTTTTTTAAAGTAAATATTATAAAAAAAAATAAGTATCTTGCTTAATTTTAAATTTAATTAATAAAAAATATTTATGTTAAAACTTATTTATTTACAAATATGTGAATCTTTCACTTAGACATAGTTATTTAAGCAAATTTTGGCATTTCAATATAACCAATATTATTTTCAATAATTATTGATATGGTGAACTAATATTCGAGTTCGTACCCATCTCCGTGAGTGATATTAACGTGTTCAAGTTATATAAAAGAGGATAAGTTCTATGGGATTAAATTAATCATATCCGGTTTGATGCGGCAGCGCAAACGTGTCCTTAGTTTCTTAAGATTAAATTAATCTTTATGAGGTCTAGATTGGTGTGCCAAATTTCTCTCTCTCTCACACACACACACATGTTGATTATTGTTGAATATATGTTTAATACGGTCCCTAACATTTTTGTTTTTTTACAGACTTTACACTAACCTTCACTTTGTACTAGCGAAGATTTCTAACATTTCACAAATATACACCTGAGGTGCCATCAACAACCAATAAAACCGTCCAAAATACCGTTCAAAAAAGTATCAACATCCAATAAAATCGTCGCGGTAATAGATAATTTAAGGAATTTTCCCGATCAACTAACGGTGTTTTGGATGATTTCCGTCCAAATGGATCTCATGTACATATTTATGAAAGGTTAGGAAGCTCCGTTGGCACAAAATGAAATTGAAGGTAAAGTCTGCAAAAAAATGAAAAGATTAGAGACCGCTATTATAATTTTCCCTTAATTCAATGATTGTGGGCAGGATCGTACCTGTGTTTCACGCATAGTACATGAGGTGAAATTTAGAATCTGGACTCTTAAATCATAGCAATCAATTTTTTTTTTATTTAATAGAGTTTTACGTAATTAAATTTGTTAACTTAAAATCAACAATAAAACAACAAATAACATGAATCATTCAAAATATTTATATTACAATCAAATATACCGACTTTTATTCATTCTTTTTTTCTTATCATTAAAGTACTTATTCATATCTCCATTCTAACTTTGAATTAATGCCTCTACTCTCTCTCTCTCTCTCTCTCTCTCACATTTTTTCCTTTAGCTCTAGACGTGTATTTCGGAGCCATCATATTTGACTCAACAACAAATACTAATTGAAATTTGAGTGTAAAAGGGGCTCAAATAATTTTAGAAAGAAAAATTACAAGATATGATCATTTGTCAAAGTATTGTACCAACACATAGCATAGACCATAGTTATATATTACAGATGAGATAGAGTGGTAGGTTCAAAAATCATAGGTCAATAAGACAATGAAATAATAAACTAACAATCAATTGCATATACAAGTTACAATAAATTTATACATACACATAAACAATTAGTCAAAGATAGAAAGATAGTGTACAAATTCATAAAATATTAGAATCATAAGCAGTCAAATAAAGGGGATTATTACCTGTTAACGTCACTTGTATAGCCAAAAACTGGGAGAAAAAAGAAAAAAAGAAAGAAAAAAGAAAAGGAACCACTTTGGTGAAGATAGATGAAAAATTGAGAATAAGGAGAACCAATGGTAGTCCAAGTTCGAAAACTCTCAATTTTGATTCAAAATACATAATTGGGAATTGAGAGAAGTTCAATTGGTTTAAAAAATTGTGGATACCCTGTGAGATTTTAATGTAAAGCTTTAATTTCATGCTTACGAGTAATTTAATTTGGGTTGTTGACTGGCTTTAAAGAAATTTTTTTTTTTTTTTTTTTTTTTGGCTCCCTAAAGAGCTGGGCCTAAGGCGGTAGCCTCTCGGGCCTCCCTCAAGTTCAGCTCTGATCGTAGAGACACATTCATGTACAACACGTTTTGGATGGATAATACATGAGGAAGAATAATAAAATGCAACAACTGTTATTCGTGCGAGCCGATGACCCATTTTTTATTACAAGAAACCAAGATGATCCTCATGGCTTATTTTGAAGATTAAAGAATTGTACGGCGTTCAGGGAAAAGAGACACAAATAAATAGTAGAAGATAAGAAAATTATCATGCAAGTTTCCATTGTTTAAGAATTCAGAAAAGAAAATGAGATCCTTTTCAAATTCGCTGTACCTCTTGTTTCCTTCATTCTCTTCATCGCTTTCCTTTACAAATGGTACTGTAATCTTGTTTCAAAATCCCAGATTAGGTTACAGCCATCTCCACCAAAGCTTCCCGTGATTGGTAATATTCACCAACTCAGCCTATTCCCTCACCGCTCACTATAGACACTATCCAAACAATATGGTCCACTTGGTGCTGCTTCATCTCGGCCGAGTGCCAGCAGTTATTGTCTCGTCTGTCGATTTTATATCCCATAAATGTACGAATCGTAACAAGTAATAAATTGGACCTACGAGTCCAAATATGATTCTCACGAGGACTACTATTTAACAATTTGTTCAATTATTCTTAACTTTAATTTGATCAAAAACAAATTAATTTTTTTTTAATATATATGATTGTTTAGGTATTAGGATTCATGAG